CAATAAACACTACGATCGTGGCGTTAAAGAAATCATCTCTAAGCCCACCAGGAGGTTTCCACATAAAAGGGTCAGCTCTATAAATCCTTCGATCACCGCAATGGGGGAATAAAACCCTGAATACTCGATTGTACTCGGCAAGACTTACCCGATAGGAGGAAATTAAAAGACTCCAAAGATATGCAAGGCTTATTTGGCTTGTGGGTTATTGCAGCTGCACGAAGCATTATTAAACATGTGTCCTTATATTCAATTTTTATTAGCAGTCATCATTAGTTCATTAACTAACTATTCTATGTAAGCACCTATGCTACTTTCAAGCAGGTGGTAAACATTCAGAATCATTTTATTACCTTTCAAGTTCCAGTTTTTACTATGGTGCTAGACCATAACCAAGTCGTATTGTCTCACAGAAACAGCGATTCGTGAATCAATGTATCCCAGCTGAGTACCCCAAAACACACGCCCCGTTTGTAACCTAGGCACAAACAAGACCAACCCAATCCACTCCTGTCACGGGGTCCAGGTCCCCGTTCAAACTTGGACTCCAAGCCCCCACACTTGAGACCCGGTCTCTATGTGGTGCTTAGACCTCCACCCTTCCCCGCCTCCAATCAGTCGGTCCGAAAAGAGCCTGGACCCACGACAAGAGTGCAATGAGCCTTCCCGCTCCCATAAGCAAGAATGTGCTCACGATAATAAGTCTGTGACTTGACTACCATCCACAGCAACGGACGGTCCTTAATCGACATAGGCGGAACAAGTGCAATCCGAGCCTCGCTCGAATGCCTAACCAAGACCAGATCCAAAGTTCCATTCTGTCCGGTCTCCAATTATCATCCATATATATTCCATATGATAATAATATAGTAACAATAATATATTTCCTATCTCTCGCGAGTGACAGATAATCACTCGACTTCTACCGGATCCTATAGCATAGCAATCTACATGATCCTGACATACTAGTAGGACTTATAGGATAAGGATATATATATGCAAGTGGTTTTCATTCAACTCCTTAAAACTTAAAGCACAAGCATAAAATAAAGTGCAGAATAATAAGGGTTATGCACCGGGGCTTGCCTGGGTAAGACATAGCCAAAAGTTAGCATTCCTTCATGGTGACATGATCATCAAGGCACCATCTTTTCCTCTACTTCGGTCATCTCCACGATCCATCGTTGTTCCTATTATGATATACGTGGATGCAACGCAGAGACGCAATTAATCAATAGTAACTGCAACTCTATAATATGATTACACTCCGCAAGCTTAACGAGCTAGATTTTATGACTAACGTACTAGTCTACATATCCAAGACGTCAAGTAAGGCTTTGTCTCCGGAACAATATTTTAGTTTTAAAATCCCAAGATGTTTCAGCATTTTATTGCTTAAACATATATTTTTGAACTATGGCTCATTTAGTCACCTTAGCAAACTAATTATTATGGAGCTACAAAAATTACAGTGAACACCAAATAATGTTAGGAATTTACTGTGAAAGTTTCAGAGCCAACACTATCACCAATTTATCACAACAATTCCTACAAGTTTATATTTTGACAATATTAAGTATCTCAAATTAATTATATAACTACTAATAATATTATAAAACCATGTGAACAAAATATACTAGCAGATAGATCATGATTTTAGAAACCGAACAAAATTGGTCTCACAATTTTTGGTTAACTACATAATTTTATACTTTGAATTTACAAGTTTACCTTAGAAACTAAATTAGAAAATGCATTAGAAAAGAAAAGGCCATCAACAACCCTCTCAGTGCCCGGTAGCTTGTATACATGCTGGTCAGCAAGACGTGGATGCTGGCAGCCCAAAGAAAAGCCCAAGGTTTAAGCCGCACATGACGGCAATGACTTTCTTGTAAAAGCCCCGTGCTTTTAGATAATAACATGACTACTATGCGTACTATTCCTACCGTCAAGAACTTTGCAACCACACCCTTGGATGTTTTCGCAGATTTACCATGGGGAGGTCCCTAGGATCTCAGCGTGCGCAAGACGGACGGCGACGACGGCATAAGTAGTTACGCCGGGCAACCTAGGCGTTCTACAACGGAAGTAAGGGGCCAACCACCATCTACAGCTAAACGCGCAAGGATGGGTGGCGGTTAGGGACTCGGAGGCGACCTTCGCCACGGGTCAGCTGCTGCGGCGAAAGTGGCTATCCGTGATTGTGGCACGACTATTTCGGGCGAGCTCACGCCTCACGGAAAGGTAGAGATGGCGGAGGAGCATCAGTAGCTCACCGTGGTGCACACCCTACTGATGGTTGAAGCAGGGGAGCACGGCAACGGTCAGGCCACGTGCGACCGAGCGGGGCGGCGGCGCTCTGCGATGGACACCGGCATGTCACCCCACCGACGATGAGTACCACGGGCAAAATAGCACGAGCAACCGGATGAAGGAAGTCAAGACGAGCTCTGTGGTTACGAGCAATTGACCTACTACCACTCCTACATGCCTTACCTCCAAACCCACTAATTGGCGGTGCCCATGATCGGCGATGACAACAAGGCCAAATTACGGTTAGTAGGGCATGACCGAGCTTGAGGGAAGGATACCGCTAGCCTACTTCCTAAGCTACCCGCTAGAGCGAGGAACCGAACGCAAAAAGTCACCGGGCGCTAGCAAAATGAAGGGCGGAAAAGCAGAGCTCAAGCCATGGTCAAGCCATGGAGGAGCACACGAGTGAGCACGAGGGGATTAAGACAGGCGGCTCGATTGATAGTCGCAACACTAGCACATGCACATAGGTGGCGGGATAGTGGAGGGATTGGGCGCGACGCGCTTGAAGTGGAGCGATCGAACCCGAGCCGCCGCACCGCATCGCTAGCGGGGCAAGTGAGGTAGGAAGGCATCCCATCGCCATTGTGAGCGGGCCATCGACCGGACATGAAGCAAAGATACGCCAAGGGCATGACATGGTAGGTGATATGAGGGGGTGAGGCGGACGCCACGTCGACCGAGCGATGCGCAGCCGCAACCATGGCGAGGGCGGGAAAGGCGTAGTAGCGGGCAGTACCACGGTGACCAGCCACACAGCAGAGGCGATGACAATGACCCGCCAGGCCGGTCACGGTCACCCATGCCAGATAGGCTGACCGGGTTTCGGCATCGCAAGACGCGCGAACGCGCCACCAAGACGACGCCGAAAGTGGTTGCGCGAGGTGACCACGCATGGATCTCAAAAACCCAATTTTAAACAAAGAAGGCCATCCATAGGACGCTTAAAGATTCTTATTGTCGTGGTCTCCAAAGTTCCACAAGTCCCACCACCGAGCGCCCGTTGATCCTCACTTGTTGCAATTAGACCTAGAACCAAATACTATCCTAGAAAAGCTCATCACTACTGGTTCAAAACCCTACCATGTCGGTTTTTAAACTGGCAAGATATAAGCGGCGATGATGAGGGGGGCTCATCACCGCCAGATTCTAGAAATGACATTTTTTAATACCGAGTGGTCACGCAATTTTTTGCTAAAAACGCATGCCTTGCGGCCACGGCTACTGAACCCACGACGTCAAAGCTTCGCTGTCGTCTCCTAAACGCTTCACCCATAAGACACTTGTGTTCATTTGGGATATTCATCCTTCCCATTTTATGTTCATCTGATTTTGAAATGAGTATTTGAAACCCTAAGCGAATTCAAATAAAAAAGTTGTCAATTACAAAATTTTTATAACTTTTTGAGATTTACAACTTTGGTTTGGTCATTTATCCATCCGAGGTTGTTTGAAAAAATTGAATATCGAATGTGAGAAAATTTCAAATGTAATTTTCCATGGATAGATGATTTCAAACGAAAAAGTTATCAATTACAAAGCCGCATAACTTTTCGAGGTCTACAACTTTTATTTTGGTTGTTTCTCCATCCAAGGTCATTTGAAAATTCAAATTTCAAATATGAGATTTCAAACGTAATTTTCATTAGATAGATGATTTAAAATGAAAAAGTTGTCGACTACAAAGTTGCATAACTTTTCGATATCTAACACTTTTGTTTTGGTTGCTTTTTCATCCGAGATTCTTTCCTACCACTACACATTCACTTGTGATGATAAAGCATATGGGTTCCTTTGGTATTAACTCAACAAAATCTTGTGACTCAAATATTTTGGCATCAAAACGACTTCAAATAAAAAGTTGTGAACTACAAAGTTGGATAACTTTTCCGATATCTACAACTTCGTGTTGGTTATTTCTCCATCCGATATCTTTCCCTACAACTACACACTCATTTGTGATGCATATTTAGACATCCAAACGATCTCAAATCAAAAAGTTTAAACTACAAAGATGTAGATCTCATCGAGTAGTAGAACTTTTGGTATAAAGTTTGTCTATATCGGACATCATATGAGAATGCTATGAAATTTTTGTGTTGTCTATTATTATCGGGGTCATGTCCTGAACCAAGCAGATGATAGTATCACTGCCGGTTCAAGCCAAAAACTGGCAGAGATGAACCCAATATCACGGCCGTTTGCTCCTATCACTATCAGTTTAAGCGACAAACCGGTAGTGATGGGCTAACATACACTATCACTGCCTGTTTGTGTTAAACCGACAGTGATGGGCGGCAGTGAAGGTCAGTTCTGTAGTAGTGAAAGCCAATAGGTCCCTCGAATAAGACCTGCAAAAGAGAATTGGATCGGCAATTGTCAACAACAACTGTGTTCCTTGTTAGCCGCCTCAACAATAAGAGTGACAGAAAATTCTTGTATTTCCAAGAGTACCATATATTAAACAAGTTTTGGGTATTCCAAGGTGAATTAATTCCTAACACTCTTCACAAAAAACACGACATGTGAGCATTCAAAGAAAAGATGTTACATTAAGTCCAGTAAGTCCATCATGAGAGCATGCCTGGCAGGTGTACCTAGGTACCAACTACCAAAGCTAACTTTCTCTAGAATTTTATCTGCCATTTGTTGCATTCATATACATCGCCTGGCCGGTGATTTTCTGCTCAGGCGCTTATGGTCCGGCCGCCGTCGACGTAGATGACTTGGCCGGTGACATAGGACGCCGCCGGCATACACAGAAACGCCACCACCGACGCGATCTCCGCCGGCTCGCCGCTCCGCTGCAGCGGAATACGCGACAAACTTTCTTTCTCCAGGATAAACGGGACCTGTGTCAACCACAAATTAACACGGTGAGAGAGTGACTGAGTTTTTTATGTTTGACGTCAAGTAGACGGTTAAATTCAAATAGAAACAAATGTTTTTAAATAATTAATATACGAGTGTTTTTTAAATAAACGCAATTAATATGTGCTTCAGAAAACAAAGCTTGAATGCATGGATGCCGTCCATTTAACGTAGTGTATACGTACTTGTTGTTTGGCCATATCCGTGACGACAGTGCCTGGTGCGACGCAGTTCACACGAATCTTTTCACCGGCCCACTCGACAGCGAGACTCCTTGTGAGCTGGTTCATCCCTCCTATATATACACGCGATTTAATACATTTTATTTAACAGCTCGCCAAGAAATCTATTTATTGTAGTCACAAGGAGCTGCTCCTATCTTTCTTGTTTTTTTATTATTTACCCTTGGTAACTGTAACTACTGTATACTCTCAATGTCCCTGTTTATTCATCGCTATAGTTTACATGCCGGTCAAATATTTTTTAGTTTGACTGGATTTATAGAAAATATTTGCAATGTTTGCATCACCAAATAAATTTATTATGAAAATAAATCCATTCATCTATCTAATGGTACTAAAAATATTGATATTTTTGTATATATATTTTTGTTAAGTTGATTACGTTTGACTTCTCGTGAGGTGAGGACGACAGTTAAAAAGAGAACACAGGATTATTTTTCTGCCCCCGCCGGTAGAAATACAAATACGTACAATACCTTTAGCAGCAGAGTAAATCGCCACGTTCGGGGCGCCAAGGCAGCTCGCAACGGAGGAGATGTGGACGATGCTTCGCCGCCGGCGACGGTGGTTTTCCGGAGGAGCGGGTGCGCGAGCTGGCTGATGTGGAAGCACGACTCCAGGTTGGTGGCCATGATCCGCGCGTAGTCCTCTGCCGTGCACTCCGTCGTCGGCCTGAACACCATCTGTGCCGCGTTGTTCACCTGCCCAGCATGCAGCCAAAACCAAATTAACGTCGCGTGCATGGCAGGCCGGGGATGCTTTCTATAGTAAGGCCTCATTCAGTTCATGGACGATCGATTCGTTCGCATCCGATCCTGCGCTTACTTACAAGGATGTCGAGCTGGCCGGCGAAGACGTCCGTGACGGTGTCCATGAGCGCCTCCCTCTCGGCGTGCACGGCGACGTCGCACACGGAGACAGTGACCTGGAGGCCCTTCTCCTCCGCCCACCGCCAGCGGCACTCCTCCAGCTCTGCGGCGTTGCGGGAGCACGTGTGCACCCGCGCGCCGAACGCCGCCAGCTCCTCCACGATGGCGTGCCCGATGCCCTTGCTCCCGCCGGTGACCAGCGCCGTCGCGCCGGCCAGGTTCCACCGCTTGTTGGGCATCGCTGCTGCCATCCCCGGTCCTCGATCTCTAGCTATTACATACGTTGGGACTTGGGACTTGGGACTTGGGAGAGAGCCATTGCGCCTGAACGCTTATTTATATCGCTCAGGTGAACAATTAGTCAAATTATTAGCTTTAGGGTTACTTAAAATCTGGTACGTACATATATATACAAGCGAAATTTAGATATTACAAGTACTTTATGTTAAGAAGAGTCGTAGCGAATATTGCAAGGTAGAGTAATTTTCTGTTTTTTTTTTGAAATGAAGGTAGAGTAATTAAGTTGATGTAGACAGTCCGTTGTGCGCGGTTCAGTTTAAGTCCGCTAGTCCACAGGGACACGTCAGCAAAGCTGCACCACGTAGACGCTACCCGGCCTACCAGCTATTGTCAGTGTCTTCGTCTTATCTGACACGAGAGCCTCTCATCTTCTGAGCCCGAAATATCGGTGTTTGGCCCACTGAGAGGAACGTAGAAATTCGACAGTAATAATATAGTAATTTCACGTGATTCAGTTAAATATCACAGAAAAACACACGAACAGGAAAGACTTCCTGTGAATGAGTAGGTATACCGGTATATTAACATGTGTTTTTTCCATTGATAGAATCTTACATTGGAACGTAGAAATTCGACAGTAATAATATAGTAATTTCACGTGATTCAGTTAAATATCACAGGAAAACACACGAACAGAAAGGACTTCCTGTGAATGAGTAGGTATACCAGTATATTAACCCGTGTTTTTTCCATTGATAGAATCTTACAGAAGATATAAATAATAAAGCTCTCTTTGAACAAAGGATTTACAAAACATAGAAATGAAAAAAAGCATGTAGAAATGAAATGACCTAACATTTGGAATCCTATAGGATTTCAGAACAAAAGAAAGTTTGAAGATGCCTTTGGAAGCAATGTAGGCTAAACATTGGAAACAAAACATCAAGGTTAGTGTAGCACTATGAAAAAAGAGAAGGAATTTTTTTTTGAAAAAAGGTGCTTTGTTGGGCCAGCCCAACTCTCCCTAACTCCATTTACACAGACCACACCCTCGTACGTTCATCTCCTTCCCTTCCTCTTCCATGGCTGCTCTTCCTAATTCCCTCTCTACAGCACCAAATCCTTGGGGAAACTAGCAAAACGGATCAAGGACAACAAGAGGAGCAAGAAGAGGTGCATCTTTTATGTAGATTAAAATGGTCCTTCTCCATTCCTTCGTGTTGCCCTAGGGTTTGTGGGTGACCAAGGTGAGTTGGATTTTGCCCTTCCCTGCACAAGTTGGGAGTTTAGGGGGGAGTTTGATCATGGGAATAAGTGCACTAGTGGGGGAGAAAAGCTGTTTGAATGTTGTTCCTCGAATTTCAGTTGAACAGCTTCTGCAGATTTTCTTGGGGAAGTAACTAGAGATACTTAGAGGTAGAAATAAGTGTTTTCATGTACTAGAAAGTTGTGGAGGACCTTCATCTCTATTAGCTCGTAAAGTTCATGATTTTACCCCGAATGGTTTGAGAGATATGATTTTTCTAAGTTATTCGTCATGTTCTGACCAAGTTTTGGACAGAACTGGAAGTAGGATGTTTTGAAGAACCTTAGAGGCATGATGGGACTTTACAAATCATAAGAGATTTGTAGTACTTTTCATTAGATTTCCATATTGGTAAATATCATGGCTTTTGGATAAGAAGAACTCTAGATATAGATTTTCAAAGTTAGATGTATTGTTTTCTCTGTAGAATTTTCAGTTAAGCTTTCCTCATGCATTAGGCCATCTTTCTAAACCTATCTGCAAATGTGAGTAATATGAAATTGTAGATTATGAAATGGGTTGCCATCTGGTGAAAGTTCATAGTTTTTTGAAATAATGATATGGAGATATAAAAAATGTAAAAGTCTGTTGTCTCAATTCTTAGACAGTTTGTAAAGTCTGTTTTGAACAGCAGTCTAGGCCATCTAAAAGGCATGATAAAATATAATATCTTCATGAAAGTTGTATGCCTTGTTGTGTAGATTCGAAAGTGTATTTGTTTGCTATTATAGCTAATGAGAACCAAATATAGGGGTATGTTAAGTCCCCGGGAGAGAGGCTCCCAACTGACGAGACCCCTCAACCAATCCCTCTAGGATCACCTGGGGGCTCGGAGGCAATACCCATCAGTTACGCTCGCGCGTACCCTCTGGTCAAGGTCGAGGGCTCGAGCATGCCCTCAGCTTTCGCCCCGGGGCTCAACCAGGCCCCAAGCTCCTGACCAACTGCAGCCTGAGCTCGCCTCTAGCTTGACCTCAGGCCGAGTCAATGCCTGGGCCACCAACCGACCTCCCGAGCATCGGCCAACCTCCCGAGCATCAGCCAGCCTCCCGAGCGCCTAGAGCTCGGAGGGCTCGAAAACGCCATGGTGCCAGCCCAACCAACGGGCGCGAGGCACTATCTGCCGCTTCCCCGACCAGGGCACGCAGATGGCGTGACACAACAGGACAAATCGCTCCACCGGCTCCAGGGTCGTGTGGCTCGATCCTGAGCCTGCTCATCATCCCCTGGGCTATGGCGCCTTCTCCATCAAGTAAGCCTCGAGAATGTTCACCTGGTGGACACGGAACCACCCCAGACATCCCTTGACTGCCAAGGGTCAGGACTCAGCGACGTCAGGCGGCGCCCGTGCTCCCCCGACTCCATGAGAGCACCGAGGTCCATCCACACCACAGCAGCACCCTCCTAGACCCCGGTGCACGAAGACCATAGACCATAGCCCCCAAACCGCCTTGTACCCGAACCTCCTCGAGATATAACGGGAGGGTCGGCTCCCATAGAAAGTAGGGCTGGACATTCCGAGTTCAGTCAAACACAGAGCAACCAAGAGGAACAGCCAAGCGTTCCTCCCCCGGCTACCCCAGCAAGAGAAGGAGTGTTTACCTTACTCACTGGGGAAGAAACCTTAGTGTCGATGAGCTATAGGATAGCACCGAGCGATCCCCTGCCAAACCCCTTTCTCCTTCGTTGTAACCTCTCGATTTGGGTGCTCCTGAATACGAAGAACTACTCACTGCTGGACGTAGAGCCTCGATAGCGCGAACCAGGATACATCGCCGTGTCTTTCTCTCGTGTTCTTGAGTCCACCCGAGCAACGAACACGCGACAATAGCCTTAATAGATTAAATGATACAAAAAGGTGAAGCAACATTGTTGCATTTGACTTGGTGCTTTGTTCATTGTTTTGCTTGTATGTCGGTTGGGGCATAGGAGCGCTTTACCTACTATGTATATTTGTTGAAATGAGTTCTACCTTTGACATTATACTACTTAAGCAGATGGTAGTGCTTCGGATCGCACATAGAGTGATCATCACTTCATTAGAGTCAAGAAAACGTAGCGGTTATTTGCTTTAGCTTGTTCTTTATTCTACCTCCACCTTAAAAAATCGAGAAACCAATCCAACACTATATTACATCTCAACCATGTTATGGAATTGTCACATGCTCTATGCTCTCTATTTGAATATCTATGTTCCAACACTTTGGTTTGATGATGCTCATATTGATTCAATGGAATATGGCTTGTTGTCTACATGGAGAGATGCTCATGATGTTATGTGATTATTTATCTTTTTCTCTATGGCATTTGCATTGCATCTCATTATTTATTCATTCATTGCCATACGGATCGAGTTATGTTGCTACTTGCTAGCTGCGACTGTGCGGTTCAAGGGCACAATGGTGCGGCTCCATACCTTGTTGGTTATGAAGGCAGGAGACATGGCATTTGCATTGCATATGCATTATAATCTTGCCCTATGACATGATAGCCTTGGAATAAGGCTTTGGGAGAGTTTGTGAGGAGCTATGCTTCTCCAAGGTTTAGTGGTGATTAATCTTTATCTTATATGTGGTTGTATCACTTGTTGGATGTATTGTCTCTTTGTTGTTGGTTTACATATAAGTGAAGACTAAACTGGTGCTTAATAAACTTGTAGTTTAAATAGGTTGTTAAAGCAGTTTACACGTTGAGATTTTTATATCTCACACCTCCTTTCTATTTTTCCAGACGCTTAGATGGCTTTTGCTTGAAGGGTGGAAAAGTAGCGGCACACTCTGACACGCTCATGTCATCTTTTAGTGTGAAAACTTGTGTTATAATAATACCATGATTGGAAGTGGAGCTTCTACTTGAGGAGCAGTGATGGGTTTTGTTGCCCCAATTTTTTCCCCGTTTCTGTTCAGTGGCATGCAATCTTTATTTGGCATCTTTCTTAAGAACTGTACGTACGTAGCTTCGAGGAACAGCTATGTGAGCTTGATTAGTAGTCATTGAGGACGCAGCCACCAAAGCGAGCGCTATAGGAAAAATTTCCAGTAGCTGAGTGCATTTTTTTTCTTTTTTCCAAAAGTAGAAGGCTTGCTCACACGGTTCCAGAGGAAAGTCTCGTTCTCATTCCTTTGTTATACAAACGTTACTGCAGTGAAAAAACTCTATACGAATTGCATTATTCCTCCATTTTTCGTGTGTTCTTTCTGTAAACCAAACGGGCCATGCATTACAAATGCGAAATATATGGGAGGCGTGAACCAAATACATGCATGTCTTTTATCATATTTATATTTATACACTTTGCACGGGAAATGAAAGAAAACAACAAACCTGGCCCACCTTTTAATTTGGCCCAAAAGAACTAATTAAAAGGGAAGGTGGGCGGACCCTAATCTAGAGGCATTAAACAGCGTGTTCGGCTGATACAGTTGTGGCTGATTTCGACTGATTCAATAGTGTTCTGTGAGAGAGAATAAGCTGAAACAAGCTGAATATGTACCAGCCGAACACGCTAAAAATCCACGCGCGACACGACGCTGGCTCTATACTGTATGACTTGCTTACGCAGGTTTTGTTATGAAATGATGAAATTAAGAAATTTTGAAACATAATTTGCAAAATAGCGCAGTGAAAAAAAGGTTCATCCAAACCCCCTCCAAAGAAAAGGCTTGTTTAACGACGAGAACTTGCCACCCTTCTTCAACCAAATAA